TCATGAGGACGTGATGTCGTGATGTCGTGCCTTTCTGCGGGGGGGATGCCCGGGCAGACTCCTGCCGGCCTTAGTCAAAATGAAGAACACGAGAGGCCGCGGGGGCAGGAATGGAGGAGGGGGAAAGGAGGGCCGAGAGCGAGGATACCACATCAGGAGCAACCTTTTTGACATCGGATCTCGAATGTGTGCGTCGCGAGCTACGCCTCGTAGTCGCCGACGCATCGCCGGGCCGGCCCGTCGGCTGCGCCGGCGCGCACCGCCGCGGGAGGAGCAAGAGGAAACGATGCGGTACTGCGTGCGGAAGTCGCATGCAGAAGGCGCTGGAAAAGTCCCCGGCCGCACCCCGCCCTGCAGCGGATGGCGCGCGGAAGCGTCGAGTAAACAGAAAAACTGCGTCAGCAGCCCGGGTGTGCGTGCAACCCCGGGTGCCTTTCTGCGAACGCAGCGGCGGGGAAAACGACATGCTTGAGCAGCTCGGGCGTGCGTGTAATCCCGAGTGCCTTTCTGCGGGAGCATGCCCGTGGAGACTTCTGCCGGCCCTCGTCAAAATTAAACGCGAGAGGCCGCGGGGGCAGGAATGGAGGAGGGGGAAAGGAGGGCCGAGAGCGAGGAAACCACATTAGGAGCAACCTTTTTGACATCGGATCTCGAATGTGTGCGTCGCGAGCTACGCCTCGTAGTCGCCGACGCCTCGTAGTCGCCGACTCGAAGATAGAACAAGAAGGAGAGAGGTAAATCAACGTACACCTCACAACAATGCCGTGACCCCCCAACATATCGTGGCCAACGATTGTGAAAACCGCTCTTACCAATCTCATCAGGGCGAGGCATGCAAGATATTTGAGGCACCAGACGGTATCGATACCGATGCTTCATGGCCCTCTCCTGGGGTGCCTTCTGACCAGACTCCCGAGGCGAATCCAGCGGTGGCGACGAGGGCCTCCCAGGAGGCCCAACGAGGCGCAAACGAGGCAAGGGTAGCGGTATGTGTGTCTGGAGAACCTGGGGCGGATCGGGAAAGGAGACGCTGCCATGAGCTCTCGGTGGCACGGAGGGCGTGGCCCTGCAGGTAGGGGTGACCTTTGGTGTGCAGCTTGGGGGGGGGGCTGCGGGGGAGGGAGGGGGCCAGATCCAAGCGCGTGGGCCAGTGCCTGAGGGAGCCCTGGTGGGCCCGCACCAAAGGTCAATTTGGCGAAGGGTCGCTCTCACGCGCAGCTGAATCTTGGTCCTGCAGGATCTGCCTCGTGGCAGCCCAACGCGCTGGGACAGCGCAGTAGAACATGATCGACCCACGAACCCGGAAAGGAATATAGAAATGTAAGGCATTGTAACATTTCAAAGACACCTGATTGGGCGACGGGCACATGCAATGCTAAATGTATCGATGATGATGTACTGTGCCGAGGGCTGTGCTGTGCTACGCCGTGCTGAACTGCGATGTGCCATGCCGCGATTGTTTTCTATATAGCGTTGTGGATCGAGTCCTCCCTGGCATCCGAGTCCTCACCGAACTGATCTGGAGCGTAAGCTCGAGCTGCTCAGGATGGTAGCTGCCCCAGAATTAATCGACAGAGGGAACATGCCAAGAGGACGCGCCGCGGAACGTCCCAAGGGACGCGCCAGGCGACGTGCCAGGGGACGTGCCATGGGGACGCACCGTGGGACGTGCCAAGGGGACGCGCTACGGAACGTGCCAATGGACGTGCCGAGGGACGTGCCATGGGACGCGCCGCGCGACGTGCCAGGTGGACTCGCCACGGAACGCGCCAAGGAACGTGCCAAAGTGTATAGTTGAGTGTATCGATATTGATGTACCGTGCCGACGGCTGTGCTGTGCTGGGCCGTGCTGAACTGCGATGCGTCATGCCGCGATTGTGCTCTCTCTCTCTCTCGTGCCAAAGTGTATAGTTGAGTGTATCGATATTGATGTACCGTGCCGACGGCTGTGCTGTGCTGGGCCGTGCTGAACTGCGATGCGTCATGCCGCGATTGTGCTCTCTCTCTCTCTCTCTCTCTCTCTCTATAGATATAGATATAGCGTTGTGGATCGAGTCCTCCCTGGCATCCGAGTCCTCACCGAACTGATCTGGATCGTAAGCTCGAGCTGCCTGAGCAGATGGTAGCTGCCCCAGAACTAATCGACAGAGGGAACATGCCAAGAGGACGCGCCGCGGAACGTCCCAAGGGACGCGCCAGGGGACGTGCCAGGGGACGTGCCATGGGCACGCACCGTGGGACGTGCCAAGGGGACGCGCTACGGAACGTGCCAATGGACGTGCACCGCGCGACGTGCCAGGGGGACTCGCCACGGGACGCTCCGCGGAACGTGCCAAGCAACATGCCAGGCTGCAATGCTAAAGGTATCGATATTGATGTACCGTGCCGAGGGCTGTGCTGTGCCTGGGCGACCTGGACACGTGAAAACACGCGTTTCGCTCAAGACGTTGTCAGCACATCCTCATGCTAGACATCCGCTTGGGCAACCTGGACACGTGCAAACAAAGCGTCTCGCTCGAGACATCCTCAACAAATGCTCATGTTAGACATCCGCCTGGGCGACCTGGACACGTGAAAACAAGCCTCTGGTTCGAGACATCCTCAACAAATCCTCATGCTAGACATCTGTCTGGGCCACCTGGAGGCGTGAAACCAAGCGTCTCGCTCGAGGCATCCTCAAGACCAGGGCACGAATCCACTTGAGAGATCCTCAGAATTCAAGCCCCCAGGAGAGGACAATCTATAACACAAAACAAGCGTTTCGCTCGAGACATCCTCAACAAATTCTGAAAAACAAGCGTTTCGCTCGAGACATCCTCAAATCCCACCAGCCCTTTGGGCGTGAGTGGTTCAGCGAGCTCTCTCTGTCCTCAACCCCCCTTCTTCCCCTTCGGGGAGGGGTTTACCCCTCCCCCTACCCCCTCCCCCTGGGCCTGGAGGGGGTGTTCCGCGGGTCGCCGGGGGGGTCTTTTTCGACTCCTCGGAGGGCTAAAAAACGACACCCCTCACGAGGATTCTGGCCCCGACGGGGGGACGGAGATAAGGTACCCTCCTCTTCCTTGAAGCCAAAAACATTGATTTTACTACGGTTTTGGCTCCATTTGGCCCTTCTGAGGGGGCAGCGCTCATGCAAGCTCCCCCCTCCCGTCAAGGCAATATTATTGATTTTACTAAGGTTTTGGGCTCATTTTGCCCTTCCGAGGGAGCAGCGCTCATTAAAGCTCCCCTCTTCTTGGATCCATGCCCTCCAAGATGGCCCCCCGAAGCGCCCAGGAGGCACCAAGAGGCCCCAAGATGGCCCCAAGAGGCCCCCCGGAGGCCCCCAACCGGGCGCGCCGGGCGCGCCGGTCGCGCCGGTCGCGCCGGTCGTGCTGATCGTGCCGGTCGCGCCGGTCGCGCCGGTGCCGGTCGCGCCGGTCGAGCCGGTTGTGCCGGTCGCGCCGGTCGCGCCGGTCGCGCCGGGTGCGCCGGTCGCGCCGGTCGCGCCGGTCGCGCCGGTCGCCGGTGCCGGTCGCGCCGGTCGCGCCGGTCGCGCCGGTGCCGGTCGCGCCGGTTGCGCCGGTCGCGCCGGTCGCGCCGGTCGCAATCGCGCTGGTCGCGCCGGTGCCGGTCGCGCCGGTCGCGCCGGTCGCGCCGGTTGGTTCTAGTTCGGTCCCCTTTGCAGCTGTGTGGTTAATCGCAGCCGTGGGCTTTACCCAACTTCTCGTCGGGCGGAAGTTTGCGGGCCCTCCTCAAGCATGGTAACGGCTCTAACTTACCATCCTACCATCCTAAACGAGAGCCCTGGGCCCCAGCCCTTCACGGGAAAAAACAAGCCATCAGCGCCACCCGCCGCGCTCCGCGTCCTCCTCCCCCGGCTCATTCTCGCCCTCGTCCACGCACCCCTCCTCTGGGGGGGTCCTTCCTTGTGGTCTTCCTGCGTACGAGGCCTTCCCACGCTCCCGCCAGCCGTGCCGACCAGGTTCGCCCTGTGAGGGGGAGGGAGGAGGGACCAGTGTAAGCCCAAGAACCACCAACGATGTTGGAATAAGCTCCCCCCCAAGCTCCCTCTTCATAGGACCCTACGACGGTTCAGTTCCACAGAGGGACCTGCCTCGTTGGAAGACAACCGTTTGAAAACCCTACAGCATGCCAGAACATTGTTCTCGGTAGTCCAACGCCACGGATAAACCTGACTGTTGCGTCTTGACAGTCTTGAACCGTGCCAGAACGCCATTCCTGGGACTTCAGCACCGCGAATCATCGTAACTGTTGCGCCCTCATAACCGTGAATCCTTCCAAAACGCAATTGCTTGTAATCCATCAAACTGCTGCAATTTGTTCAAACAGAACGTGCGCGGCGCCAGGGCCAGAACCACATTTTGAAACGGAGCCGCCCTCAATCCGTTAAACTCTTGCAGATTTCGGAAACGAATGCGCGCGGGGCTAAGGCGAGAGCCGCATTATGAAAACCACCCGCCCTCAATCCGTGAATCTCTTGCACATTTCGAAATCGAATGTGCACGGCGTTAAAGCGAGAACCACATTTTGAAAACGACCCACCCTCAATCCGTTAAACTCTTGCACAGTTCGCGCTCAAGCGAAAACCACATTTTGAAAACCACCCACCCTCAATCCGTGAAGCTCCTGCAAATATTGAAATCGAATCTGCGCGGCGTTAAAGCGAGAGCCACATTCTGAAAACGACCCACCCTCAATCCGTGAAGCTCTTGCAAAGTTCGCGCTCGAACGAAAACCACATTTCGAAAACCACCCGCCCTCAATCCGTGAAACTCTTGCAAATATTGAAAACGAATGTGCGCGGCGCTACAGCGAGAACCACATTTTGAAACCGACCCGCCCTCCATCCGTGAAATTGTTATCATTGTTTAAGCTTCAGGGTCATAAATGGTGAGGAAGTCTCAAGCGAAACGCCCGGTTCGCCCTGAAAACTGGCCTCGGGGTGCGACAGGGAGAACTTATTTAGAAGGAGAAGGAATGGAGGGAGGAGGGAGGAGGTCCTTGTTGATCTGCACGTACTGTATCAGAGCTCCCAGCTCTTCTTTCAGTCGCTCTATCCACTTCTCCTTGCGGGGTGGGGAGGAGGGGGGGAGAACGGGGAGACAGCAGGGCGACAGGACCGATATCCATCCTCCTCCCTCCTCCTCCTCCTCCCTCCCTCCTCCTCCTCCTCCTCCTCCTCCTCCTCTTCCTCCTCCTTCTCCTTGTTTGACTTTGCTCGCACATTATGCGTCAGCATGTGGCGTTCTTCCTCCTCCTTCTCCTCCTCCTGCTGCTCCCTCCTCCTGCTCCTCCTCCTGCTCCTCCTCCTCCTCCTCCACCTCCCTTATCCTCCTCCTCCTCTTCCTCCTCCTCCTCCTCCTTCTCCTTGTTTGACTTTGCTCGCACCTTATGCGTCAGCATGTGGCGTTCTTCCTCCTCCTTCTCCTCCTCCTGCTGCTCCCTCCTCCTGCTCCTCCTCCTCCTCCTCCTCCTCCTCCTCCTCCACCTCCCTTATCCTCCTCCTCCTCTTCCTCCTTCTCCTCCTCCTCCTCCACCTCCCTGGCTCGTTCTGGTCTTCCCGGCCTGGCCAGGTGCATATACACCGCTGCTGGGCCGAGGCCAGGCCAGGCCTGGGGCGGTGGACACGTCGAGATCCCGTGGCCCAGAGAGGTCGGGGTCGAAGGTGCGGCACCGAAGCCAGCAAGGCCACCAAGCCGTGGGGGACGGGGCGGAGTTGGCCATCTGCCGAACCGTCCGCCGAACTGCGGCGACGGCCACCAGGGGCACCAGTCGGCCTCTATGCAGACGCGTTGCGCATGCAGCCCAGGTTCCTCGAGCAACGCGATCCTGCTTGCACGCTTGAACAATTGGATTGGTGTTCTGGGTTTTTGCCCGCTACCCCCCCGGAGTACCCCGTGAGCGCCTCGCGGGCTCCGCGCCGCATATCTTACACCGCATAGCTTGCACAACAGGGCTTATACCCACTGGTTTCAGCCTGCACCACAACAACTTGCAGCGCATAACTTACACCGCACTGCTTGAACCACATAGTTTGCACCGTGTAGCTTGCATCACACAGCTTGCACCACATAGCTTGCGTTGCATACCTTTCAAAACGTAGCTTGCACCACATAGCTTGTACCATACAGATATACTAGAACCACGCGTGCGCTTCGGTTCTAGCGCAGTCCATGGCACTGCGATGGCACGTGAGTAAGGGTTTGTGGGGTCGTCGGGGGGAGTCATTGGGCAATCCTGGGGGGACGACTCGCTGTCAGAGTGGAGTTGCGGCTGTCTTTGGCCGGCTAACTATGGAATGTCGCAGGGCTTCCTTGGACTGGCTGTAGGACTGTTTTGGCGCTGTCTTGGGGGCAGGGCTGGACCTAAGCGTTGTTTTTCGTTTTGTGTTTGTTTTGTTTTTCGTTTTGCTCTACCTGTTTTCCTGTACCTTCCTCCCACTACGAAAAACAAGACACAGCCGACCAGCAAAACAGCGTTTAGGTCCAGGCCTGATTCGGGGTGCAGGTTGGCTGGCGGGTTCGTCTGGGAGATCGCCGAACGCCCTTGGACCATCGGCTGGCTTTCTGATTGCGTGTCGAAGCCGTATTTTGCTGGTCTTGGGTTGTCGTCGCGTTTTCTTGGCACGAGTCAAAGCGGCTAACGCACGGTCGTATTCATTCTTCTCGTCCTGGTCGCCGCCCTCCTCCTTTTCATCCTCGTCCTCGTACTTGTCCCTGTCCTCGCCGTCCTCCTCATCTTCCTCGTCCTCCTCGCCGTCGTCGTCCTCCTCCTCATTTTCCTCTTTCTCCTCTTGCTCCTCCTCCTCCTCCTGCTCCTCCTCCTCCTCTCCCTCCTCCTCACCCTCGCCCTTCTCCCCGCCCTCGTCCTCCCTCCAGCCCTCGCGGAAAGTAGCAGTGTCCTTGTCCCTGGGACCTGCTGCCACAGCCAGCAAGGGGATCTTCTGCACCACGGCCTGTGGGCGCTGGCGGGAGGTAGTGGGGTGGAGATGTGAACGGACGAAGCTGGATGAGCAATAGAACTTGTGTCATTCGGCGGCGAGCGAGGGGCGGAAGTGAGAAGGAGAAGGCCTTCTCAAAATGCGGCAGGACTTCTCCGAAGCCCTCGCACCTTCTGAGAAAATATCTTCGGTGAAATCTTAGAAAACGTCTCAGAAGACCGGGGGACTTCCGAGCCGTCTGAGAAGGCCTTCTCCTTCTCACTTCCCACCCTCGCTCGCCGCCGAGACATGGGCGGTTCCTCCCGCCCGGATCCTCGCTCTTTCCTTGCTCCTGCTTCACCGTACGTGCTCTCGGCGAGTGTTCGAATAGGCGGACCTTACTCTCCCTGCTTGTCAAGCTCCTTTGGTGCTCATTTCCGCCCCACTTTGCCGTCGCTGTTTCCACCACACTTTTGCGGACATGTGCGCCCTGCTTCTCCGAGACGGAAGTGACTGCCCTGCACGTTCGCCTCGTGTGGGGTGCATCTGCGAAACATCTTCAGATCCGAATCAAGGCCCCGTAAACCTGGACACGCTAGACCCGGACACCCAGCACCCCTCGAAACCAATTTTTCCAGACGGCGGCACGAACAAAATACTGCACTGCAACATGTCCCACATAAACCCGGGCACGGGCCCTAAAAGCCTGCAAGACCCCCCTAATCAAGGACACGAACCCGAATCCTGCAGTGCAGCAAACAAAAATGCACGGGTGCTGAAAGATGTGACTTTGCAGGAAAGGATGCCGTTTCCTTGGCTTCCCGTGTCCTGGTTCACCTGTGTCCTGATATCCAGACGCCTGACCGAAAACAAGACGAAGCACGCCGGATCCAGAATCAGAGCTGCCTCCCCCGTTTCTCCTCCCGCTCGGGGGCCCCCCTGGAGCTCGGCGCCGGCCGCTCCCCGAAGAGCAGGAGCGAGCGCGGAGGGCGGCTTGCCCTCGCTGCGCAGCTCCAGGCCCCCGCGGGCCGCGGCGCCCGACCCCGGCCGGAGCGCAGAGAGGTGCCAGACGGGCAGGGGTGCCAGCGGGCGGATTTCGGAGACACCGACCCCAAAAACGTTTTCGTCCCTTGGGGGGCGCATTTTTCACTCCCGCCGCCTTCCGCCGAGCTGCCGCCGGCTCCCGCTGGCGGAGGCGGCCCCGTGTTACTTCCGCTCACCTTCCGCCGCCCTTCCGCGGCGGAAGAGATGACAGCTCCTTCCATCCTCGAAGGCAAGGCCCTTCTTGGAGCTCCTCAGCTCCCGGCCGCTGTCGCGGAGAGAGGCCGGCGAAACAACGCCATGAACCACGAGGCGCTGCAGAAGGCAGGGAGGGCGGAGACGGGGGCGAAAGAAGAGGGGGCGAGGAGGCGGCGACGCCGTGCTCGCGCCGAGGGGCTGGGCCTCCAGCCAGCCGCTCTGGACTCTGGACAGGCAGGTGCGGCACCGCGGTGCGGAGGAGCAGGAGGAGGAGCAGGAGGAGGAGGAGGAGGAGGAGGAGGAGGAGGAGGGAGGAGGAGGAGCAGGAGCAGGAGCAGGAGGAGGAGGAGGAGGAGGAGGAGGAGGAGGAGGAGGAGGAGGAGGAGGAGGAGGAGGAGGAAGGAGGAGGAGGGAGGAGGAGGAGGAGGAGGGAGGAGGAGGAGGAGGAGGGAGGAGGAGGCGGAGGAGGAGGAGGAGGAGCAGCATCACGGCAGGTTGACCTCGTCTGCCCGCGGGGGCCGTCGCCTGCGGCCCCAGGGCCACATGCTCGGCTCGCAGGCGCGCTCTTGCCTGGGCGGGCGGGGGCCACACCCCGACCTCGGAGTGGTGCTCTCGCCTCAACGCAGGCCGTCCCCGTTTATGGCATTACAGCTCGTCTGTAAGCGTACGCACATACGTGTAGATAGAGGACGGGAGATCGCGACGAGGACGGGAGATGCGCGTAAAAACATGTGCCCTCCTCCTCCTCCTCCTCCTCCTCCTCCTCCTCCTCCTCATTCCGTACCCTGCCAAGTGGTCACAACGGAAGTGCGCAGCTCGTGCGAGGACGGCGAATGCGAATGGCGTGTGAGCGTAAGAGGGTGAGGAGGAGGTGAGAGCTGAAGGCATGCTGGGAGCATTTTTTCGCGTCGCCAGTAAGATGAGACGCGGAATGAAAAACATGTTAGAGCGAGTTGGTAACATCCGGCGATCCCCGCTTGTCGGGGGTGACGCGGCGTGCGAGATATTTGGCTGTCCCCCTCCCCCGCTCCCCCTCCCCAAAGGTCCCAAATCCGATTAGAGGGGGGGGGGGGGGCGAACTCGTCAACGCACCCCCAGGGCCCTCGGATAGGGAAGAGGGCCCCAAGAAGGGCCAAGAGAACTCCAAGAGGGCCCTATGACGGGCAAAGAGAGCTCCGAGATGGCGAGACGGCTCAAGAGCGCTTCAAGATGCACGAGATGTCCTCCAGATGGCCCAGAAGACCCCCAAGACACCCCCAAGACACCCCCAAGACACCCCAAACTGAAGGTTTCCCACGCGTTCCCAAAAACAATGTTTGCACTTAGGGTTTCTTACTTCTCTCAGTAAGGAACTTGTTGGGGGTCCGGCGAGGTTAGGCCGCGTCACCGCCCGTGGCCGCCTTGTGGCTGTTTCGTTGCCGCCCACTTGGGGTGCCCTCCGATGTTTCGCCGCGTCGCCACCCGTTGCTGCCTCGTGGCCGCCCACTTGGGGTGCCCGCCGAGGTTTCGCTACATGCCTTGTGCAGCACAGCTTCCACCAGAGAAATTGCACATCCACAATGCAGTGACTTACTGCTTGGGGTCCACGCTGGCAGGCCATTCCGAAGGAGTCTAGCGTTATCGCCTTCCTGGACTCCCCTTGCTCCAAGACGGCCAGAAAGGACCCCAAGATCGCCCCAAGAGGCCCCCGGGAGGGCCCCCAGGTGGCTCAAGACGGATCCAGGACGCCCCAGGAACCCCCCAATACAGACCGACACGGCCTCAAGGCAGCCTCAAAAGAGCTCCAAGAAGGGGAGCACCTCCTCCTCCTCCTCCTCCTCCTCCTCAATTGGAGCCCTCTGCCTCAGGATGACCCCCCGAGACCGCCACGGCGTCCCCGAGATGCCCCACAGCAGCCACAGGAGGAGGAGGAGGAAGAGGAGGAGGAGGAGGAGGAGGAGGAGGAGGAGGAGGAGGAGGAGGAGGAGGAGGGGGAGGAAATGAGGCGCCAAGAAGCCCCCGAGAGGCCGCCAAGACTCCCCCGCCTTCAAGAGGACGCCGTGAACATGTTTTCTTCTCGACGCCGTGAACCGGCTCCCTCCCGTACTCCCTCCCGCAGGAACCCACCCCGACCAACCTGGAATAAAAGGGAGGCCCCAGCGACGAAACCCGACGGACTCCCTTGACCCGAAAAGGCCCCACGAGGTGGAGCTCGACACGGCCCCAGAACATTCAAAACCTTCCCGTCGTCCTCGTGCCCCTCCTCCTTCTCGTTCTTACTCCCACCGTCGTCGTCGTCGTCATCATCGTCGTCGTCGGCGTCGTCGGCGTCGGCGTCGGCGTCGGCGTCGGCGTCGGCGTCGGCGTCGGCGTCGGCGTCGGCGTCGTCGTCGTCGTCGTCGTCGTCGTCGTCGTCGTCGTCGTCGTCCATTTTACCCTTTTCCTCCTTATTCCTCAGTCTCTGGGTGTCGACTGAATGCGCAAGCCTCTTGGACTTTCGAGTGAGTTGGCATGTCTACTGAGACCCGTGAAACACAAGAAGAAGGACGGTGGAGACAATAGGATTTACACGCCATGCTCAAGTACAAGTGAACGAATAGCAATACGTGTCGTCCCACGCCTGAGTACCCTCTGGTGACACCGCCTCGTTCGGGATCAGCTCGGCGTAGAAACCTCCAGGCAATGGGAAGTACCCCGTCCAGAGGGAGCCGCCACTATCAAACAGCATGTATCCAACGCCTGCATTCTCGTATCTCTGTCGCACTTCTTCGAAATAGGTCGCGTTAACGTTGGATCCACCAGCATGTCTACACGGAGCGGGCGTGTTAGAATGCTTCTCTGCTGTCTGGAAGGTTCAATCAGGTTTTCCAGGGCCGACCCCTCCTTTGGCAGCACGCGTGGTTCGAACACCTGCCTCTCTGGAGTTGCTCTCCAACGATCTTTTCGGCCTTCAGGCGGCCACGATGAGCTCCACGATAGCGTCCAAGACAGCCAATATGACGCCAGAATTGCCCAAGACAGCTCAAGAGGTCCCCAAGACTGCCCAACAGTTTCCCAGGACAGCCAAATAAGGCTCCAAGAGATCCTCCAGGAGAGCCCGAGGAACCAAACAACGTTGAGTATCCTTCTTCTTCTTCTTCTTCTTTTTCTTCTTTATATTGGGTTTACTTAATCAATTATATACTTAGGTTCTCGCCTGTTTCGGTTTCCAATCGCCCAAGATGGCCCAACAGTCCCCCCAGGCAGCTCCAAAGCAACCCATGAGGCCCTCAAAGAGTGCCCCAAATCGGCCAAAGAGGACCCTACGATCGCCAAAGAGCCTCCCAAGAGGGCCCCAAGACGGCGCTAAAGCGCCCCAAGAGGGCACCAAGACGTCCCAGAGATGGAGATGCCCCGAAAACGACCGCCGCAAACGAAGATCCCTCCTACAGACGACTCAGGAGGCACCAATATGCCCTAAGGAGGCCCCCGGTGAAGCGAGCGACATTGATGCTCCTACGGTGTTGCAGTGATTCTGAAGTTCTCGCCTGTGCGGGTTTCCAACCGTTCAGGGCGGCCCAGGAGGCCTCCAATCTGGCTCCGAGACAGCCTGTGAGGCACCCCAACGAAGACCCCAAGTAGCCTGAGAAGACCCAGGATCGTCCAAGAGCCTCCCACGACGGCCTCCGACGGCGTCAGACGGGCCAAGAGCGCCCTGAGGCTGCCCAAGGTGCACCAATAGTCCCCCGAGAGGCCCCCAAGACGCCCCCAAAGGGCACCCAGCAAGCTCCCAGGAAGCCGCCAAAGAGATCCTAAGAGGCCTTCTCTTCCTTGTCTTCCTTGTCTTCATTTTCTTCCTCTTCCACCTCCTCCTCCCCGTCCCCCTCCCTACCGCGCGGACGAAGACGAGGTCGAGTTCCTGACCCGCCTCGGTTCAGACCACTCACTGAACTGCAGCGGGGCGTGAACTCGACCTCCCCCGAAGACGAGGTCGAATTCACGACCCGTCCCAGGTCTGACCGCTTGTCAAACTTACGCTGCTCCTTCACCCTACCTCCTTCCTGCTGCGGTTTTGCACAGGCACGGTGGCGGGGCTTGCCGAAGGCCGCTGGATATTGTATAATGGTTGTCCCCCCAGACTGGCCAGCAAGACTTGTAGGACCGCATGAACTCACTGTTAATGTGCTCAAGCTTGGCCTCCAACCACGCCGTGGTGTGATCTGCGGTTGCTGCCTGGTTTGACCTGCTCCAGTACATCACCTGCACGCGGACCTTCTCATGAAACGTTACTCCGACCTGGTGCCAGAAGGACACGAAACTGACGCCACTGCCTGCATCATGCATCTCATGCTCGGGATCCAAGCCAAACATGCTTTTATAGTGTGCCTTCACGACGTTGAGGTCGCGATGGGTGCGACTGACATGAAGCTGCACGGGGCCCTTTGATCTTTGCAACCATTCGATCTCCTCCTGGCGAAAGACGTGCCGAGGCATTGGGAATTCTGTCACAGGCAGGCTGGCACTCGACGGCGCAACAGCCGAGACAATCTCGAAGACCTCTTGCGTGTTGTTCACATGAGATATCAGCGAATAGAACAACCGCTCGCCCACAGCGGAAGGCCACCGCAAGGCCAGAAAGGGATACGAGTAATCATTGAATCGTTCAACGTAGGAATCGATGTCATTATCATAAAGGCCAGCATGTATGTCCATCCATGGGGAATACTCCTTCAAGTCGCCCAACCCCTGCTGGAAGAGGTCTTCGACTTCGCTGACCGTGAGGCCACCAACCTCCCTGTCGTAACCGCTGCCCCCGGCCCAGACGCCATGGAAGCTGAAATGGGACATCTCCTTGACGTATGTGTCCTCGTCTGCTTGGTATCTAGTCACGGTGGAGTCCATGCGGACCCTGGCTGCCTTGCCGCACGCGATAGAAAGGGGGTCAAAGTCCAGATCAGGTACCCAATCGCCGTGGCGCTCATCTCCGTGCCCTGTCGCAATCGCGCTGTCGAGGGCGCTCTCCAAGCCAGTGGACTCCATCGGCTCGTTCTCTTCCGTCTCGGGGTACGTGGGCAGGAACCGCTGCTTCCACTGCATGCTGTTGCCGATGCGCCCGCTGCTGACGGCGAAGGTGCTCTTGACCATTGACATGTCCGCCTCCACCACGAGCCTGCCGCCCAGGGCCGCCCCCGTGAGCAGCCCCCGCGCGGCCAGGCCGCCCGCGGCCCCGGCGCGGTGCTGCAGCAGCTCCACCCGCTGGGCCTCCGCGCAGGCACTGCTCTCCTCCTCCAGCGCGGCCTCGCGCAGGGCCGGGGAGCCCGCGCCCACGACCACGGGCAGCAGCAGCAGCCGCAGCGAAGCGGGCACCGGGGTCGGCATGCCGTCGGCCGGACGGCGCCCGCCTCCCAGGACGCCCAGACAGGGTCGGACTGGAGAGCGGCCTTGAGCCACAGCGGCCCAACGCCGGCCGCTCCTCGAAGACCAGCGCCACGTGGTGTGCGTACGGCTTCGAGGGTGCGGGCTCGCTTCCTCCTGCTCCCCCTGCGCCTTCCCCAGAGGCCAGGACACGGTACGCTGACGTGCAGACATGATGATGCCTCTGGGCATCTCACATCTCTCTGCCCAAAGAGAAGTCCAAATTTCTGCGATGAACGACTTCAAACTCGCGCTCCTACTTTGTACAAGCTTCTGTGAGCTGGTTGCAGAAACGCGCGCCAAATAAACCACCATCGTGACCCAAGAAATCGGCTCGCCAAGACAAAGACAACACGTGCCGAATAATGCCAAACCGTCATGTCTGCCAGCGAGGACGAAAAACCGTGCGCTGTCGCGCTTTCGAAGAGTAGGCCATGTGGTGTAGCGGCAGCGAGGCGGCAACGGGCTGCAACGAGGCGGCAACAGGCTAAAACGTTGCGAATCCCCGGCGCACCCCCGCAGGCGGCCACGAGCGGCAACATGGCGAATCCTCGGCATCCCCCCACAGGCGGCACCGAGGCGGCAACGGGCTGCAACGGGCGGCAACGTGGCACGGCAACGAGGCGGCAACGTGGCGAATCCTCGGCATACCCAGGCATGCGGCAACGGGCTGCAGCGGGCGGCAACGTGGCGAAGCCTTCGCATACCCCCACAAGCGGCAGCGGGCCAGAACGTGGCGAACTCTCGGCATATCCCCACAGGCGGCACCGAGGCAGCAACGGGCGGGAACGTGGCGAATCCTCGGCATGTCCCCACAGGCGGCAACGGGCGGCAACGTGGCGAACCCTTGGCATTGCCAGGCATGCGGTAACGGGCTGCAGCGGGCGGCAACGTGGCGAACCCTTGGCATACCCTGAGAAGTGGCAGCTTACGGCATCGTGGCGAATCCTCGGCATACCCTACACAGCGCACGAGGCGGCAACGGGCAATAACGTGGCGAATCCCCGGCATTCCCCTACAGGCGGCACCAGGCGGCAGCGTGGCGAATCTTCGACATACCCCCACGGACGGCCACGGGCGGAAGCGTGACGAATCCTTGGCATACCCACGCAAGCGGCAACGGGGGCGGCAAATGGCCGAATCCGTGGCATCCCCGCAGGCGGCAATGGCCGACAACGGGCGGCAACGGGCTTGACGTTGCGAGTCCCCTGGACACCCCCACAGGCAGCCACGGGCCAGAACGTGGTGAATCCTGTGGGCACCCCCACAGGCGGCAGCGGGCGACAACTGGCCGGAGCGTGGCGAATCCTCGGCATACCCCCTCACAGGCGGCAACAAGGCTGCAACGGGCGGCAACGTGGCGAATCCTCGGCATACCCCTGCAGGCGGCAAGGGGCGGAAACGTGGCGAATCCTCGACAGATCCCCCCCTACAGGCGGCAACGAGGCGGCAAGGGGCGGCCACGGGCGGAAGCGTGGCGAATCCTCGACATACGCCTACAAGGCGGCAACGGGCGGAAGCATGGCGAATCCTCGGCAGGCATACTCACACAGGCGGCATCGGGCGGCAACGTGGCGAATCCTTGGCATACCCGCAGGCGGCAACGGCCCGCAACGGGCGACGACAGGCTGGAACATGGCGAATCCTCGGGACCCCCCAACGGGCCAGAACGTGGTGAACCGTCTGGGAACCCCGAAAGGCGGCAACTGGCCGGAGCGTGGCGACTCCTCTGGGCACCCCTCCACAAGCGGCAACGGTGGGCGACAACGGGCCAGAACGTGGCGAATGCTAGGGACACCCATCCAATCCCGTAGAGGTGCAGGCAAGAACCCCTAAGTGCAAGCACTGTTTGGGAAATATACGCCTGGTGCGTTTTGTGATATTGCATGCACAATGGGAAAAACTCTCGTCCAACAGAGCAGGGCGCTATTGCATCCAATATCGGTGTTGTACAAAATTCTGAGATTGATTTCGACATCCACACCTAAATTGCAACGAAGAGCGTCCGTGTATGGTCCTTATGCTTTCGCAGTCGAGCGCATGTCGGAGCTAGACTGAGCATTATTGCTGCCGCAGGCCCATCATTGAAAAGCCCCCGTGGCTTCTGGAATTTCGTGTCGCAGGTCCACTGATATCTTGCCTACAGCCTCAACCGCACAAAGTTCGCAAGCGTCTGGGAGGGGTTAGTCAAACCATCCTCGAGGGGGCATGGCGACTCCAATTCCCGACTCTGTGGGACTCTCGACCAGACAAGAATGCGGGCCAAACTCGGGGAAATCAGATGGGAGGGGCGTCCATTCTCGACAAGGGCGCGTCCGGATGTACGGTCGGGAGCTTTTGCATAGCCGTGTCGCGGCGGCGGACCCAGCGACATGCTATGACGGCTAGCGTGTCGCTCCGCTCCGCGGGGCGGGAGGCTCGGAAAGGGCTCGGGACTCTGACGCTAGAGGATCGAAGACGAGGATAACGTATCGCGCCGCAACGTGGTCAGCCAGAACAAGCAGGGCGACACGCTATAAGAAAGTTCCCAGCTGTAAGATGGGGGGGGGGGGTCGCCCATCCTCGACAAGAGGGCGCGTCCGAGCACAACCCCTCCAGGGGTGCACCCCAGAGCTCCCCCCCCCCAGAGCCTTCCGAGAACCTCCTCGAGCTTCGATCCTGGTACGCTGGTTCTCGCGAGGAGGAGCTGGTGACCTCCCTGGTGGTGATCCCGCCGTTTTTTTTGTTTTTTTTTTGTTTTTTTTCTTTTCTCTCCTCTTCTGGGCCATAACGTGGATTGTGCCGCCCCCCTTCCTGCTCCCCCTAACCCCTATAACTTAACGCTCCCCCTCGAGCGCGTCCCCGGCACTGCCGCAATGCGACCTATACCACAGTCTGTCACGGTTGGGGGCGGTGGCGGTACATTATGCCCCCTATCCCTCCCCCCCCTACGCCCATGACGAATCTGATCTACCTTTGTTGTGTGATCGTCGACTCCTGAAACCAAGCGGCATGACTGCCTATGCTAGACATGCGTGGACAACTCTCTGGGCCACGTCTACATCGCAGAGAAGGGGCGGCTGGGAAAAGGCATGCCACTCCTTGTAAAGGAACCAAAAACCACATAAACATAAACTTTTGGAAGTCCGCGCGGATTTCTTGGATCCGCGCCGGACCCCCCTTCCTGGGCCGTGGAGCGCGCCAGGGGCGGCGCCAGGGGCGCCGCTGGGGGGGCCCAGCGCGGATCCAAGACATCCGCGCGGAGCGCCGACAGTTTAGGTTTATGGCGTTTTTTCCTCTTCGATCCTGGACACGACCTTGCCCCGGTTTGTGGCCGCCGCGATCGCCGCGGCGACCTCCCAGACCGACCTGGAGGTCTGGCTCGGGGCCGGATACCACGCAGCGCGCATCTGCCCTCTCCTGGCCGAGAGGCTCCACGACGCCCCGGGAGACGCCAGGTGCGGCACGGTGCACACGAGTCGTCCGCGGACATTGGGGCCCTATCGGCGATCAATGGGCGATTGGGGGTCGATGCGTCCCCTTCCCCGATCGAGTCGTCCCATCGATGTCGCGCAACTCGCCGTCGCTCGGACACCCACTCCTCGTGCAGTCGCTTCGGCTCCGTGCGCGCTCTCGCAAGATGCCCCCGAGAGGCTCCTCGAGGGCCCTCGCCGAGAAACACATGCGCAAACCCGAGCGATGCAAAGACGACCCTTGGCACTGCCCGAGGCCGCGGGCAAAGGCCGGCCGCGAGGCGGCGGCGCGTGGCCGCGGGGCGCCCCCGCGGCAGCCTTGGTGCTCTCGGTCAGCATGCGCCCCAAGGCCCCCAGCACTGCTGCCTGCGGCCGCGGTCGCGAGGGCCGGGGTGGGGAGGGAGGGAGGGAGGAGGGAGGAGGATGAGGAGGAAGAGGAGGAAGAGGAGTAAGAGGAGGCGGGGGGGGGGAGGAGGAGGAGGAGGAGGAGGAGGAGGAGGAGGAAGAGGAGGAGGAGGAGGAGGAGGAGGAGGAGGAGAGAGGGAGAGCGGGAGGGGATGGAGATGGTAGGGGGAGATCTAGGGAAGGAGGAGGAGAGGAGCAGGAGGAGGCGGAGGAGGAGGAGGAGGAGGAGGAGGAGGAGGAGGAGGAGGAGGAGGAGGCCAAGAACCGCATCGGCCGCCCGCGCCAACATCGCCGGCAGGGCGGGCCCGCCAGCGGGGAGGGCGAGGCGTGCGCCGCTGCGGTGGCCTGGCGGACCCTCGCAGCCGGACCTCTCGCGGGCTGCGCACCGAGGTGCGCTCCCACACGTTCCGCGTCGGGCATCTGCGCACAGCCGCCCTGCCTAGGCGGCGAGCCGGGGGGGGGGGGGGAACGAGAAGGGGCGGGCCTCCTCAGAAGGCTCGGAAGTCCCCTGGACTTCTTTGAGAGGTCTTCAGAGCCTTCCCCGAGGACGCAGAGAACTCCTCAGAAGTCGCCCCGCTGCCCCCCTGAGAAGGCCTTCTCCTTCTCACTTCCCCCCCCCCTCGCTCGCCGCCGACTGTCTCCATGGGGGTCGCGGCCGAAGGGTCCGGATCGCGAGGCCGACCGCGGATCTCGGGATGCCCCGGCTCCGGCTCCGCCGCACTTCGGTTGAGTTTCTGGTTGGAAGCTGTGTCGGACATGCGCCCCAGGCGATGCGAAGAGGCAGGGGAGAAATCTCCGCCTCCGAAGAACAAGGCTGATATCGCTGCAAAACTACAGCGGAAACAACGATTGCAAAGTAGGGCGGATATTCACATCACAGGAACTAGACACATAGGCATTTCCACCCTACGCCCTACAGCCAAAACTGATAGCCAGGATGCACGATAAGGGTGCGAGGGCCTTGGACGCCCTGGTCGAAGCTTTCCGAACGGGGCTCGCATCGAGAGGGCTCAGGGATGGACTGAGGAGGCAAGGAGGCAAGGGTACCCCTTGGGGAAGGCTACCCGCCCCTGCAGTCGACTCCGAATGTGCCTGGGAACGCGCCCAACCAGCACGGCGGAGCCGCAGCCGGGGGGAGGGGGGAGCGAGCGGAGACGAACGGGGCCCCCGCGCCTCTTACAAACCAACGTCAAGCTTGCTCGGGCTCACGCCAGATGCCTCAAAGACGCTTCACAAACCAATGTCACAGGTTCCAAACTGGCTGATCCACCTTGCTTGTGCCATCCCCGTGGCACCTCAGCGCCGCCCCTTTGTGGCACGAGACGGCGCGCTCCTACCAGCCAGCGTTTGCGCTCGGTGTGTGCGTGCGTCCTGGCCGTGGGACGATGCTCGGCTGCGCTCAGGCGCGGCCCCAGGCAAGATTGGCGGCGAGCGAGGGGGGGAAGTGCGAAGGAGAAGGCCGTCTCAGAGGGCTCGGAAGTCCCTCGGCCTTCTGAGACGTCGTTCAAGCCTCCCCGGAAGGCACGACAAACCTCTCAAGGGCCAGAGGCCTTCTGAGAGGCCCCGCCGCCTTGCGAGAAGGCCTTCTCCTTCTCCCTTCCCCCATCCTCCTCCTCCCTCCTCCTCCTCCTCCTCCTCCCTCCTCCTCCCTCCTCCTCCCTCCTCCTCCCTCCTCCTCCTCCTCCTCCCTCCTCCTCCTCCCTCCCCCTCGCTCGCCGCCGACAAGAGTGGCCTCTGGTGCGCGGCCGCCGGGGGGCGCGAGGGGGGGCCAAGACTGGAGCGCGCGGGCCGCTGCCGTCGCACCGCGCTCCGCGCGTGCGAACCATGCCACTGGGGCCTTTGGTGGAGCCTCCTATGGGGCCACGAAGCGTGTGAGTGGTGTGCCAAGGTGTGGGGGATGACGGGAGGAGGGAGGAGGGGGAGGAGAAGAGAAGGAGGAGAGGAGAGGAGGGACGCAGAAACTGTTTCTTCAAATCGAGGACCCAACATCACAAGATGGTTGGGACAAATCTGGTGTTCCAGGCGGTTTCGCTTCAGACATCCTCACAAGTCTTGTTTCTGAGTTGTCTGGGATTGGCCGTCTCGCTTGAGACATCCTCGAAAATCTGGGCTCGGGACGCCGCGCGCTCCGGGCCGTTTCGCCTGAGACATCCTCGAAAGTCTGAGCTCCGAGAAGCCGCGCGCGAGGTGGTCTGGGCCGTTTCGCCTGAGACATCCTCGCAACTGAGGGCTCCGAGATGCCGCGCGACAGGTGGTCCGGCCCGTTTCGCCTGAGACATCCTCGCAACTCTTAAAGCCCTGAGGCGCCGCGCGAGAGGTCTTCCAGCCCGTTTCGCCTGAGACATCCTCACAATTCGGGGCTCCGAGATGCCGCGCGCGAGGTGTTGCAGCCCGTTTCGCCTGAGATATTCATGCAACTCTGAGCTCCGAGAAGCCGCGCGCGAGGTGGTCTGGCCCTCTTCGCCCGAGACATCCTCGCAACTCGGGGCTCCGAGCTGCCGCGCGAGAGGTGGTTCAGCACGTTTCGCCTGAGACATTCTCGCGCCTCTGAGCTCTGAAGTGCCGCGCGCACGGTGGTCCAGCCCGTTTCGCCTGAGACATCCTCGCAACTCTGGCCTCCGAGATGCCGCGCGCGAGGTGGTCTGGCCCTGAAACATCCTCGCAACTGGGAGCTTCGAGAAGCCGCGCGCGAGGTGGTCCGGCCCGTTTCGTCTGAGAGATCCTCGCAACTGGGGGCTCCGAGAAGCCGCGCGAGAGGTGGTCCAGGCTGTTTCGCCTGAGACATCCTCGCAACTGAAGGTTCCGAGCTGCCGCGCGAGAGGTGTTTCAGCACGTTTCGCCTGAGACATTCTCGCGCCTCTGAGCTCTGAAGTGCCGCGCGCACGGTGGTCCAGCCCGTTTCGCCTGAGACATCCTCGCAACTCTGGCCTCCGAGATGCCGCGCGCGAGGTGGTCTGGCCCTGAAACATCCTCGCAACTGGGAGCTTCGAGAAGCCGCGCGCGAGGTGGTCCGGCCCGTTTCGTCTGAAAGATCCTCGCAACTGGGGGCTCCGAGAAGCCGCGCGAGAGGTGGTCCAGGCCGTTTCGCCTGAGACATCCTCGCAACTGAAGGTTCCGAGATGCCGCGCGCGAGGTGGTCTGGCCCGCTTCGCCTGAGACATCCTGGCAACTCGGCGCTCCGAGCTGCCGCGCGAGAGGTGGTCCAGCCCGTTTCACCTGAGACATCTTCGCGACTCAGGGCTCAGAGACGCCGCGCGCGAGGTGGTCCGGCGCGTTTCGCTTGAGACATCCTCACAACTCTAGCTCTGAGTTGCCGCGCGAGAAGTCGTCTGGCGCCTTTCGCTTGAAACATTCGCGCCGCACCCCTCACCTCCGAAATGCTGAGTGAAAGGTGATCCAGCTCGTTTCGCCTGAGACATCCTTGCAACTCTCAGCTCTGAGAAAATATGCGCAAAAGGGTGTGTAGCCCGTTTCGCTTGAAATATCCTTGCAATTCGGAGCTCCCTGATGCTGCGGGCGACGTGGTCTGGACCGTTTCGCCTGAGACACCCTAGAAACTCTCGGCTCCGAGAGGGAGGAGAAAGCAGGGAGGAGTGGTCAGACCCAAACGAACCATTTGATTACACTTCTGTTACTTCTGTTGTCAAATTGTGCCCTGGGGGGATCTGGGCGCCGCCTGAACCACCACCATCATCAGCATCATCATCAGCATCATCAACAGCATCAGCAGCATCAGCATCATCAGCATCAGCATCATCAGCATCATCAGCATCAGCATCAGCATCAGCATCAGCATCAGCATCAGCATCAGCATCAGCATCAGCATCATCATCAGCATCAGCATCAGCATCAGCATCAGCATCATCATCATCATCATCATCATCATCATCATCATCATCATCATCATCATCATCATCATCATCATCATCATCATCATCATCATCATCATCGTCATCGTCATCGTCATGGTCATTGGGATCGTCATTGTCATCGTCATCGTCCTTGTCCTCGCCGTCGCTCTCGACGTCGTCCTCGTCCTCGTCCTCGTCGTCGTCGTCGTCGTTATCGTCCCTGTTGCATTCCCAGGCGTGTCGGTAAGGCGGTCTGGGCGTTTCGCCCAAGACTTCCTCACCACGTGCTATCTTGAAGCCTTCGAGCTCCAAGAGCTTCCAAGACGGGGGCGGCCAAGTCTTCAAACTGTTTCTCTCGCCTCAGCGCCGCGCAGATTTGTCTTAAAGTCTGCAACAGTCTCGAATGTGGAAAGCGACTGGTTTTCAAGATGTGGCTCTGGCGTCGACGCCGCAAATATTCGTCTCAGCAAGTCTGCAGCAGCCTCAAGGATGGAGGGCGTACCGTGTCGAAAATGGGGGCTCTCGCTTTAGCGCCACGATCATTCCTCTGAAAGTTTGCAGCAGCTTCAAGAATGGAGGGCGGCTGGTTTTCAAAATAAGGCTCTCGCCTTAGCTCCGCGCACAATCGTCGTCAAACTGTGCAAACTTTTCGAGGATGGAGGGCGGCTGGGTTCTTTAATGTGGATTTCGCGTTAGTGCCGTGCACATTCGTTGTCACAGCTTGCAGCAACCCGAAGGATTCGTATGCTTCAGCCCCCCCGGACTGGTGTTTTGGCACGATTTAGGATTGTCTGGACGGAGCGGTCACGTTGACTCGCCGTGTTGAAGTCATCGCAGCGGTGTTCTCGCACGGTTGAAGACTATCAGATGGTTGACTTCCAATGGGGCGCTCTCCGCAATGATCATAAATTCTTGCAGGGGCCTATAGAGAGGGAAGTTTGAGGAATGGCTTATCTCACCAGCCCTTTGGGCGTAGGTAGTTTAACACATTTTGTCTTCTCTCTCTGCCAAGATGTTTCCTTCCCCTGCTCGAGGGAGGGGTTTATCACACTTCCTTCTTCATATCCACCACTGCCCCGCCTGGCTGGCGGCCAACCCGGAACCATGCCGACCCCATGCGGGCCCGCTCCCCACCATCCCTGTCAAAAACGATCCAAGCCGCACTCTGCCTCCACATTTGGAGCATGCGCGGCCAACCCGATGTGCCCCCCCCTTCCCACACCATCCCTGTCAACAAACAATGCAACATACACTTCGGGGCAATCAAGTCTGGAGTCATGTTCGTAAGGCCAGCGATCACTCTGTATGGTTTTTTGACAGGGACGGCGGGGGTGACAGCATATTCCCTGCTGCGCGCAGGGCTACCATCCCTGACACAAAAACCATACAACATGCACCTCGCGGCTAAATCTGGATCAGGCGCGGCCACCCCGCGATC